TTTTTGTGCCCAGTGGCTGAGTTTCCTTTGTGGTTGATGAGCTAGCTCTTCGCAGCACTTGAGCAGGTTTGTACACGCAGTCTGTGGATTGCTAATGAGGGAAGGAAGGGGCCAGGCTGCCGCATTCCTGACATGCTTTGGGACCTCTCACAGCTCATCCTTCCTATCAGGCCAAAGTTTCGGTGGAATCCGCGTGGAACCTGTGCTTTGATACAGGATTGTCCCAAGGATTGGGTCTCTTTTTGCCATTAACTAGCTGCTTAACCTCAGGCTCCTCAGACAGGACATGGAGACCCTGATATCGGGGTCATTTTAGGAACTACCTGTTGGCTCCTGTGTCTAGGTGCTCAGCTAAGGTCACTGCACACATGGTTTTATTTAACCCTTAGAGCTGTCCTATAGCATCAGTGCACTGGAACTCGTTATTGGGGAAAAAAGAAGGAGAAGGAGAAGGAGAAGGAAGGAGAAGGGGAAGGGCAAGGGGAAGAAGAAGAGGGCGGCTCCTGGTTGATCAACACCAACCAAGAACCAAACATCTTATGGTTTGAAGTCAGGTAAGCAGTCCTGAATGCCATCATCTCAATCGTACGGATGAGACAATTGAATGACCAGCTCAAGATATAATTGGTCCTGGAGGGGACAGATGTCTGGCTGTCTGACCCCATGACCTGTGCTCTTGACCCTGACACTACAGCAGTGTGTCCCTACGTGTCCCCAGGGTACACGTGTGAAGCAGAGCCGTGTGAAGCAAAAACCTCCTTTCAAATGAAAGAGGACCTGCTTCTTGGGAACACCTTTTCTATTTATTTTTTTTTTTGATTGAAGCAGCTTACACAGTGAAGCAAACATCATGGTTGATGATCATTTAACCCCCTCCATGAAATAAAGACCTTACTCTCTTTCCCCACAGAGGAGATTCTGAGTTTAACCCCTCAGGCATCTTCTGGATACTAGGTTATTCTTGCAAAGTTTGCTTTTTCTATTCCCTGTATTAGAACACAGTTCTGTTTCTTGATCCTAAAATAGCAAACACATCTGCGGTAACTGCCGCATGTTAGGGCTTGACCTGCATTCGCTCACTGGTTCCTGCGGAAAGTCTGTAAGGTGGGCATGCTATGATCCCATTTTATGGGAGAGGACACTAAGGCCCTGCCAGACAGATTATGGATTTTGCCCAAGGACCCTCAGTTCGTAAGAGGCAGAGCAGGGACTTGACCTGGGTCCATTCATTCATTTTTTTTTTTTAAGATTTTATTGGGGAGTTGGGGGAGGGGAACAGCATTGGGGAATCAGGGAAGGGGAACAGANGACTAAGAAACAATGGCTTCAGCCAGTTTCTCCATCCAGGAGAAACCTGCCCCTCCATCCCTCACCCTGAAACCAGACAACTCAGTTCCTTTTTATATGTCCCTGGTGCCTTTTGAGCTGCTGCCCCAGCACTGGAGCTCAGAGTAAGTGAGTTTGGAAGCAAGAAAATCTGTGTGCAGGCCATTTGAGAGGAACACCTGGGAATGCAGCCACCCTCATCTCACTCTGCCACAATCTCCACTGGTTTTCACAGCCAGAAGTTCTGGAGACTTCTCTCCCCAGCACTGAAATCCAGGGCTAGGGAAATTGGTGTGGGGCTGGGACCTCTTGCTCCTCTAGGGAGAGGGGACCTCCATAGCTGAGATAATGGTCACGTGGATGTGGGACCATCCCATTCCACATCTCCGCCCTTCCTACCAGTCTCCAGGTAGCTTCTTCTGTATGTCCTTTGTTATAGGATTTCTGTTCAGCTAGACTTCAGGCAATTCTCAATGATGGTCATTCTGTAGTTTAGTTGTAAATATTACATGGTCTTGAGAGGTGGTAAGCACAGCTCTTACCTACTCTGCCCTGTTGACCTGTAGATTTTGCCACGTCTACTTTTAAGGATTCATAAGATGTATCATGAAGACCCAATCTTAAATTAATATGCAAATCCTTCAATTAATCATATAAAAATACCAACTTTGTAGTTTGTAACCTGGGAGCTTAGCATCACAAAGGAAAGGCAATCATATTACCTATCATTTTTAAAGCTAGGAGTATTACTTATGAGTAAGTAACTCAGCTGTGAGAGAAATCAGCTGTAAAGAATGAGCATTCATAATAAATTCCCAAGCTCAAAGGAGATCACAACTGATAATTAGAGGTTTCCCCCATCAGTTACCCAAAGCAATGTGACACAAAGAAGGGCTGTGGGGATGATGAACCTTGGACGATCTCATCGAGACCGTGGCTTTGGTCCTTGGCTCAGTCACAGAGCAGAGGAGGAGAACGTCCCCTGTCGAGAGTCCCCATCCTTAGTTTGCATCCTCAAGACTAGGAGGCATAGACAGAGGTGGCAGGGACCCCCCTTAATGATATTCTCCAAGGTACCCTGAACAAAATTCTTAGGGTAACACACTGAGAGAACTATTTTTAAGAAGTTGGGGGTGGTAGTCGCAACCTGCTCTGCCTACTCTCTAAGATTCTGGTATAATTAGGATGAGTGTGGGATGTGGGTGTGTAGCTCCAGCATGCAGCCAGCTGGGGCTCCTGGAAGCACTCATGCTCACCTTTCCCCCACTCACCCCAAACACACATAGACACCAATAGTCCAGACTGCCTCTCCCTGGAGCGTCGCCCCAGGTAACTTCACCCTGCTGCTCCAACCTCATTTGCCTCTTCCACAGACTTAGTTTCTGACCAAGGCTCTAGTGGAACCAAGCGTTCAGAATGTTCTTTATTCCAGAAAGTCAGTTGCAATTTATTCACATGCCTGGGAATGTGTCAAAAGCATTCTAGAGCTGAAGGAGCCGAGACATCATGGCCCTATGTCTGTTAATTCACTCACACCCTTCACACTTTGGGCCTCAGCAAACAGATGTTTCCTGCTGAGCTTGTAGTAGTGGATGGAGCCCTGGTAGATTTGAGTTCTGTCCTCATCAGCATGAGCCAGCTTTGGAGGGCAAGGATGGAGAAGTGAGCACAACGAATGTCATTAGTTTGGCCCTCCATGTTGCAGGGACCCGGGCATCTTTAAAGGGTGTCAGGATGAACCCCTTTTCTGGAACCACACTCCCCCATGTCCCCCCACCCCCATATCTTTATATTGTGTGTGTTTGGTATGAGGCTTACTGGGTGACCTGGATGGCAGGTTTCTGCCACAGACACAGCCCTCAGAGGACCATCTTGGTATACCACTCTGCCCCATTTGAGTTTCACCTGTCTGGGAACTGTCCTTCTTAAGATGTGAAAAGTAAGTACAGTATGGTAGCAGAGGGTTGTTGTGAAGATTAAGGTCATTGAGATAGAGTGCAAAAAGCATGAGTACAAGTCCCAGAGCATGGAGAGAACCCCATCAATAGTAACAATCACTATTATTGATTTAGTAAAAGATGTGGGTTTAGCAATTACTTTGTGCATCTAATTTGAGTAATAATGTACACTTTTAATATAATAAGGCTATATTTATTTAGAAAATGCTCTAATTTCCTTACTCTTCAAACCCAATTAACTTCAAATTAGTGAGATTTTTGTTATAGTAATAGTCTAATGGGGCTCACAGCCAGGCACTGTCCCCCACTCTCTCCCCACTTCCCCACATGCTGGAGTCAGTATATGTGGCTGATGTGACCAGCACGTGACTCGGACATGTCCCAGTCCCAAGCCCCAGGGTCCCATGTCTTTAGTCACGTCTTGGTTGCTCAGAAAGTTGTAGCACGCGTCAAGCGCTTGAGTCCACCTCCACTGAACTTGCCCATCTTTTACCACAGGCTGTAAAGCGCTTCTTGAAACAAGAGTGCAAGTGTCACGGCGTGAGTGGCTCATGTACTCTGAGGACATGCTGGCTGGCCATGGCCGACTTCAGGAAAACGGGCGATTACCTGTGGAGGAAGTACAATGGGGCCATCCAGGTCGTCATGAATCAGGACGGCACTGGTTTCACTGTGGCTAACAAGAGGTTTAAGAAGCCAACGAAAAATGACCTTGTGTATTTTGAGAATTCCCCAGACTACTGTATCAGGGACCGAGATGCAGGTAAGTTCAAAACACTTTAGTCACAACCCTTAATTCTTCCAACGATTGGGACTCTCAGATTAAATGCAGTTCTGTATTTGCAGCCTGCCAATTCTGTAAGTGCAGCCTGCTGCTTCCAGGGTCAAAGCTCATGTTCTTATAATTCATATTTAAAGTGCGCAGAGAGCTCTTCTAGGATGCTGGAGAAATGGGAACCCAATAAGAATGGCTGTAGCAAAAAGTCAAAATATGCAGATTAGCAGAATTCTTCAGCCTGGACAAAACACAAATTAGTGGGCTGATGTACACTATGTTTAGCCGCTCACCACCTTTCCTGTGATCTGAAAACTGAGAGGAGGATAGCTTTGCAGTGTATCTTCCCTTTACAAATCCCACCTCTGAGACTACAGAAAGGCTCCCAAGGCTTGAAAGTTCACCTGTTTTGAAATCTACCATACTGCACACTCTCTTGCTCTTTCCAATATGTTCAGAAGTTGCCAAATACTAGAAAAGCAAGAATTCATCCCTACTGGCTTGGCTGTCAGTGGGCAGTCGATGAGGGCTGTGTAAGAGGCACTTCATTTATTAAAACCACAGTCTGTCCTTGCACACGGCACCTTCTCTGTCTTGAGCTCACT